TAGATATTTTTTAAATTGTGGGATACAGTACTATCTTATTTTTTAAATTAACTCAGCCCTTAGCTAGTCTCCAAAGCCAAAATAGTCGTGATTGACAAATTCCAAGAATCAGCAAGACTCTTTATTTGCAGGATTGCTGATTTAAGCAAACAAGAGACTCCATCTAATATTTCGGTAAGGAAGGGTGTCAATCAGCTACAATTTAAAAACCAGGCATCAGTGTATCAAGAAGGACAATGGAGTTGTGGCGGTTTAGATCTCCACTGATGAAATCGCTTCCGTCCGAATGTGTTGCTGAATAAATGACTATCGCTAAAAATGTAATTTAATGGCATACCCTGATTGTTCAAACCCGGTCTAACATTGTAGTGGATATCACTCTCAGGTTATATTCGTACGGCACCCGAACTAAATTATTTCTGAGATAGCGAACAAGATGGGAAGGGAATTAACTGGACTGCAATAACTAGACATTATTCAGATACCACTGATCTGAATTGACCTTTTCTTTCCTTGTAGCGGTGCAACTGAGTATTTCCATCAGGTTTGTCGAGTTCAAGTGATGTTTTCCATTGGCGGATCCAATGATTTTATGATTGATTTAAATTTGAATTCCAATCAAGGACACTCTTATTCAACTGCGGCACACGCAATTTTCACATTTCCCAAATCAAACTCTGAATGAAAGGTTTTTGACGCCAAACATCAAAAACGCAGCTCACCGGTAACTTTCAAATGATCAGTTTGAAGGTTTTTCTAGATCTTACCCTTTTTACTGCTCGATATTAACAGTCCTATATCTTGGGGAATGTTTGGATCTAAAGACTGAAAAGCCAGCCTCCAGGCTTCTTATTATACTCCTTTCCAAGAGCCATTCTCAGTATTACAATACTCGCCTAAACGCATAATCAGAAAATGTTAAAAATGGCTTATTTCACTGAGAGCTGTGATTTGGAAACATTCTATCCTTTCCCTCTTTAGAATGTTTCCTTCGTCTAGCATATGGAAGAATCGCCCACACTAGGTGTATATCATCTCCTAAGTAAGTCAATTGACACAATTCTTTAACAAAATAAATGAATCAAAGAAACCTTACACTCCCTTACTTTTTAAGTTTTCTAAGCCATTACTAGTCCTCAAAACCGAAACAGTGAAGACATACTAAATCTGAGAGTCAGCTAGATTTTTTCGCCGGATTCTTAATTTAGGGTAGCCTCCGGAAAAAGCGTGCAAGGCGTGCTTCTATAAAAGAAACCATGAATAACTACCTATCGAGGTAAAGCTAGCGCTTATAGCGTATAGATTGCGAAAATAACAAAAGTTTTGATTGGTTTTGTTTCGGTAGGCACGTGCAAGCCGTTAAAAGACAAAACTGATGGTGTTTGTTTAACTGAATTACCAGCCTTTGCGTTACCGCGGACAACCAAACAAACTGGACTGTATCACTCAGCCGATGAAAGGCTAGAAAAGGATGTGAGGCTTTTCCGATATTCCTATGAGTTCGCGAGAGAATCTATTTTGAAGTTGGACAAAAAAAAATAATCAGTCGGTTCCGTTAGAGCCTCTAACGCTTTTGTGCGTTAGCTAGTATCCAATGAATGGTCTGACCAAGTTTCATCAAAATCCAATAAAACTACATACCCTTGCAATTCGTTTAAGTAAAGTTAACTCGCGTGAAAACAGACATCAAAGTTTCGGCCTTCAAAGATATCGAGTTAGGTTTTTGTCGAGGGTCAAGGGTCGTAGGTAAAATATCAAGGGTTCAAAAAAAGTTAGTGGTATCTATTATTCAGTCATTTACTTAATTTTTTTTTTTACTTGTATCTTGTGGTCAGAAATGTCCGCAATTTAACTCGGGCGTTTCCTCTCTTTATCACTTCCTCGCATTCTTGCGCGTGTTTCAGTGCGTTATAAAGTTCTTAGGGGAAGGATTTTTGACTGCGTTCTCCTTCCTAAGTGATCTCTGTTTCGATTTGTTGGATGTCTTTTGAAACATGCAATGCCAGATTTGGAAAACAAACTAGAGCATTAAGGGCTTAAAGTGACATTCAATCCATCTGAGGACGGGGATTGCTTCTATTCCTCGGCTGCACAGGCTCTAGGCATTGAAAGTCAGAGCCTGAAGAACGTGATGTTCGAGTACCTAAAGAACGAAAGTGCAAAAGCGAGACACTGATATCAAATGTTTTCGTTATAGCTCGATTGTCGCTCTTATTTTGAAGCCTTATTTTCTCTGTAAAATACTTCTGCCGTCTAAATTTATCGCCAAAAGCATTTCTTGTCCGCTGAAACGGCCGCCAGAAATAACTCATGGTTCGTTTTACT